GAGCGCGGATATAAGCACAGTCCCATTGACGGTGATCTTCGCGGGTGCGTAAGGACTCCTACACAGCGTGACTATCAACCCTTTCGAACGACTCGCTTTCACAATTTGTAGTCGATAAGAAATTTGCGTTCAATCAAACATGAGATGACGTACGAGTCCCGTAATATTGAAGTCAATCATCGTGCGCTGCTGAGTCGACAAGGTAAGCATCTCTTGCGTTTCACATATTGGTACATTTGGTACCGCAACCGCGCGTGCGACTTCCGCGTGCGGACGAGTCACCGATGTAAATCGCGTGCAATCTCGTCGCGATTTTCGTGACTAATCCCCATGAAAACGGGGCCGCGGCATCCAGCGCGCGCGGCCGTGCTTTAATGTCCGCGACGCGACACGTATCGAATCGGTGTTCCTTTCGCACAGCGGACAGCAAAATGGCCCCCGAGCTACCGCCGAGAATCGAAGCTCACGTACGCACGCACGCACGCAGGCACGACGCCTCGGGACACGCGAAGCCGTCGTAATGAAAACGAGCGTGCGTGTGCGTGCACGCGACGCACGCAAACGAACCCCGCGCGAACCGAGACCGCTGATCTAACGTGTACCCGAGATATACCGATTCTTGCGTCTTCTCGCGTCGCGTCTATCGCGAGAGCGTGCGTGGCTTGCGGATAACCGCGTGTCCTATTTGCACGCGGCGCGAATACACGTGTAAGCTGTCATGAGAGCTGCGGTTGCCAATCGCGTTCGCGGCTATCCTCGTACCCCCGACAAACAATCTGAAGTCTACGTCGTAGACGCAGATTGTATTAAATATTATCTTAGAACGTGGTCTCCATTCTGATGTGGAAATGCGCAAGTGCCGCGGGAGAAAAATCGTGGAGAGACCGAGCGCGGCGCGGCGCGGGGTGAGGCAGGCAGATGGGAAACGCTATCTCTCGGATAAGCCGCGTTCCATATCGGTCTATCGCTGAATGTCAACTAACGAACACCACTACAGGCACGTATCCATTACTAAACAAATCACGAGCGCCGTTCGACCGTGCTTCTGTAAGCTCTGCCGCTGGGCGCGGGATAATTAAAGCTGCGAGGCACATTTGATCGAGTTTCGGTCGCTCTCTCCGTCCGACAGACCGATTGTTCCCCATTTTAATTTTTTTCGGAAAATTGAAAAAGGAATTCTCCCCCGTTTTCTCGATATTTTTATTTTTTTTGCGCTCGCTCGCGCGTATGGGTATGCCGCCTGTGCACGCGCTACAGCCGGGCGAAAATTGGAAATTGATTTCGAGCGAAATTCCGAGCGATATGTCGAGCACGTATCGAACAATACCGAAATTTCGCGCCTTTGAAATAGTTTCTCGGCTGTACCTTCGCCGGACGATTCATCAGAATGTCATTCGCTGGATGTGGGTCACGATGGATTTAGATGCGGAAGAAAAACGGAAAAAAGATTGTTGCGACTCGTTATTCCGCTAACATCTGAATCGAGCAAGATTCACTTTATAAATGGGAGCTTAGTATCCGTTATATTCCCGGAAGAATTATGTAAATATAGGACATGTCGATAAGCGTCCGCTTTTCGATACGCTATTCGATAAAGACATCAGATTTTGAAACGTAAGTATTCATTCTCCATGGACGCTTCACAAATATCGCCCCGACGGACTTGCATGCAAACGACAACGACAGCTTTGAAAAAATATGACTAACAAGGTAGCGAACGTCAGAGAGCAATAAAATCGTTGGAACACGGAGTAAGAGCGACATATCTGAGTACCAGTTGAAAGCATTTTACCGAGAAGCTGCAACCGAAGCGAGAGAATGCGTCTAAAAGACGATCTCCAGCGATGTGGAGGAAGGTCGCTCGCGATTCCAGTATTTCCAGTATTTCGGGTGTCCCGCGGCGAGGCGGCTCGCTCGCCGAATCAAACTACTTCATTAGCAAAGAGCCGTAATGACGATAACGCGCCTCGACCGCGAAGAAAGAGACGATCGCCGACAATTAATAAATAGCCACGGTATCCGTGAACCTGCCACCGGATTGTGCTCGAGGCTAGTTCAAAGAACGAAAATAAAATATATTTCGAACGATGTGGCTCAGAAGTATAAGCCCACAAGACAGCAGCGTATAAAATTGTGCATAAATTACCGCTAATGTAAAAAATCTTGCATTGTGCACCCGTCTTTACATATTAAATAAAATTTATTTTATATTAAGTAAAATGCCGATCGACGTATGTATAATACAGAATAAATAAATATTGACATTTTTCGGTCATCGGCCGGAATCTTATGCCTATAATTATAGTTTTTGTGAATCTTATACATTTCGTCTTTCGAATCACGTGCCGATTCAAAAACTAATTATTTTTCAATTCATTTCTTATATATGTATCGCTGCATTTTAACCGGTTATTGATGAACTATAGGACGTATCACACATGGGACCACCATATTACAGCTTCTATTTAAAAAACAGATCCGCCCCTACGGCTTTCATCCTGTCAAATATTCCCACGCCTAATGCTTACTAGCGCCTGAAGAAGCGCACGCGGTGTCGCTTTAAAACGGGAGTAACGAGGTCCTTTCAACCGCTGTTGTCACCAGGATGGTCTCCAACCGTTCTGGTAACGCACCGTCAGTTTCCTGTTTGCGGTCCTCGACAGCCTTTCACCGATATTTACTCGCGGGCCTAGGTCCTCCCTTGGGATTGCTCTCGAAGACATCTCGGAAGGACGAGGACTCGGCGGTGTCTCGTTTTTGTTTGCCACGCCAGGATTTCCCGACAAAAGGCCCGGTGCATCGTCATCCCTTCCCCCAGTCCCTTAACACTAGGATTAGAGTCAAAAGGATTTCCAAGTTGTTCGTGTTAATTTTTCGCTTCTGCTTTTCCTTCGAGATTCCTACAACCGCCTGCCCTATGAAGAGGGTTTAAATCTCAAACAAAAATTCAGGCCAAACCAAAGTCAAGATGATTCCTTAAACTTCTTGTTAGTCCAACTTTCACTTTCTATTGTCTTAGTAGATTTATGTACATAGGAAAAGAAGTAGCAGCGAATTTCTGTATCCCACAACGCGACATAATATATTTTAACTGTTAAAACTGTATTTAAAACTCTTTAAAACGATTTTAATAATTGTTAACGCGTTGTTATAAGATAATAACTGAATTTAAATATTTTATAAAAGACATTATAACAAAGATACATTATTTAATAAAATACATTAAATTTGGAAACCAGCAATAATTTTTATCTTACATTCAACTTACACTTACGTTTCTTCTTCAATGTGCCACGTTAAGACTCCCTGACGTTAGCGATCATTTAGAAAGTATGTAATTGTGAATATATGTTTTTATTTGCCCATCAAAGGACCACCTAGGAGCCTTTTTACCTATCGGTATAACACTATTTCAAAGAATTAGGATATTTGACCATAAAGTGCAAATTTTGAGGTTTCTTTCTACAATAATCTCCTGGGAAATAATCAGAACAAATTTCCTAGTAAACCTTTTCTCGCCTTGTGTAATCCTTTGGAAAATAGAATGAGAATCCGAAATCTATTGACTATTCTCACACAAAACCACTCATCATTCCAAGACGATGCGTCATCCACACTTATTTTTTCAAATTTCATGTTTAGGGAAAAATAAGTCACTCATCTTTTATTGTACCGAGAAATAACAAATGCTTCTTTTCTTAACAAGTTTGTTTCTATCCGTATTCATACGGATCGCTCTTATAGATACGCTTTTGAGATACAGCGTGAAAAAACACATAATCCTTCAAAAGACTTCCGAACCAAATCTTTCGTAAACCTGGAAAGGGTTAGGCCAGGTGAAAAGGGCTGTCATCTATTAGCCGTGGCAAGAAAGGGGTTTGAGAGATATTTTCGAGAGGCATTTTCTGGGCTCGTGCACAAACTGGATCCTGTCTCTCTATCGAGGTGAAGAGAAAAAAAAGAGAGAGCGAGAGAGAGAGAG